ACAAAGAGAAACGGCAAAGAACGTGCAACAAAACAACGTGTCTCGAGAGTGGTGAGGAAGAAGAAGACGACGACGGCAACGACGGAGACCACCACCAGGCAACGTGGTCGCGACGACAGACGACACTGAACGACTCGCCGAAGAAGTCACTTCTGAACAGCAACCGGATTTGTGTGGATATTCAAATAATTTCGTGCATCAGCCTCAGCAGACGACAGTGTGCATGTTTGTCGGTGTCACTCATCAGCAACTTCGAAATCAGCAGCAGAAACCATGGTCAACGACAAAAAGCAGGATTCTGGTGATGTGGAGAAGCAGCAGCCTGGTAACAAGGACGCCGACCACCGAGGATCTTCTTCTTCTTCGGGTGCCAAGTCGGCGGATATCAACATGACGCCTTCCACTTCCCAGGAACGACCAAAGACCATCACCGGCAACAGCATCAGCAGCAGCACTTCCAAGCAGGTGCGCTACTCCTTTCAGAAGAAGCCTTTCGTCATTGGCGTCGCCGGGGGAACTGCTTCTGGAAAGGTAAGTGCAAACAACAACAAAAGCTTTTTATTTCAGCTAACATTTTCTCCCACCATAGTCAACTGTCTGCTCCAAGATCATGGAAAAGCTAGGCCCACTAGATCCCAAAAACAGCAACAACAGTTCCTCTTCAACCACATCTACCACCACTTCCTCCTCTTCGGCGTACCTTTCTGCAAACCAGAAACGGGTCATCTGCATCTCTCAGGATAGCTTCTACCGAAAGCTGAACGAGGAAGACCGTGCCATGGTGGCCAAGGGCTTGTTTAACTTTGACCACCCGGCGGCCTTTGATGTGCCGCTGCTGGTGCACACCCTCAACGAGGTGCTGAGCGGGAAGATGGTCAAGGTGCCCATCTACAACTACATGGAGAACGAAATGTAAGTAGAAATATGACTATTTGAGATTTCCAAAAGTACAATTTTTCCTCTGCAGAAGCAACACCGAAGAGGTGATCTACCCGGCGGACGTTGTTCTCGTCGAAGGCCTGCTGCTCTTCTACTTTCCCGAGGTGCGGGACATGTTTCAGATGAAAATCTTCGTCGACACAGACCCTGACACGCGCCTCTCGCGCAGAGGTAAGTTGTGATGCTTATCGAAATTAACTAGATTTTACTAACGGATTTCTTCAATCAGTTATGCGCGACGTGACCGAACGCAACCGAGCCCTGGACGTCGTCCTCAGTCAGTACACCACGTTCGTGAAGCCCTCCTTTGAGGAGTTTTGCCTTCCGGTAAGTGACATTGAACTAATTTAAACCTGAAAAATCTATCGAAAATTCTTCAAAACTGACATCTCCTTTCCTTCATACAAAGACGAAAAAGTACGCCGACATCATCGTGCCGCGTGGCCCAGACAA